TTCATTAGAGAAGCTACTTGGAACCGCATACCTCATTCTCTCTCTACTCTCCCCATCCGGCCCCCCACTTGCCAACATGCCACTCCCCTCTGGTGCCCCGCGTGGCAGATCACAGCGCTTCAACGCCGCAAGCATAACGATGTTAAACCGCCACCCAGGCAACCGGTGGGGTCAACTGTACTGGTCAGTGCCCAGTGTGTTGCCTGGCTCAAACACCTTCTCTTTAACGCGTGGCAGATGGCCTACGCGACTGCGTAGCCCTTTGTTTCCTATGGTCTCGATTCTCTCTCTTCTTCATATTGCTTTTGTTTATCTCTTTGTGGCAGAACGCAAGGTGCAGTGCGACTGCAGCCAGCACCACCAAGGAGCATGTCATGCTACTTTGTGCAGCATGTTCGAAAAACAGCGACAAAAGTGCAGTGGCGCATATTCCAGTTCGACCGTTCCGTACTTCGCTTTTGTCATTCAGGCAAGCTTTGATGCTGACTGTGCGATTTTGCGACCGACAGAGCATCATGACGTTGGCTTGTGTGTGTGCATGTGGATCTGTCGTGACGTCATCCCTGCTATTTTTGGTGTTAAAACATAGGTACCGTTGCACTAGCCCCTCGAACGCTCCGCCCCATGTTTCCTGAGACTCACGATCTATTGCTATGATTGTCTTGCGGGTTTCATCACTCACATAACTGGTGATGTTTTTGTGTGCAGATTCATCACGTTCCATTTTGTTCTGTATTAGCTTTCTTCTTTTTTGCAGGTTTGACAGTTCCGAACGACCATACTGGCAAGATGTTTTCGTAGCCACGCCACGGTGTTCCGGGCTACACGTTCGTACATTTGCGCAGTTGCTCGCCAATCGTACATCTGCGCAGTGGCTTTAGTTCGTACATCTGCGCAGTGGCTTCAGTTCGTACATCTGCGCAGTGGCTTCAGTTCGTACATCTGCGCAGTGGCTTTAGTTCGCACATCTTTCGGTAGCTTTAGTTCGTACATCTGTGTAGTAACTTGTATGTTGCGCATGTGATGTGACTAAAGGAGCCCATTCGAAATGCCAGCTGCTGTATTCTGAAATTTCCGCGTACGGAAATGGGCGATGCTGCGTCGCTCGATAATAATCGCCACCCAATCATAAAACATTTCTGCACCCACGTCCCCGAGGTTTGATTGGTTCATATCCACCAATCAACGACAATGACACGTGGCAAAATATCTTGGCATACGTGACACGTGGCAAGGTTACATAAAAGTGACGAGAAAGTCGCTTCACCAGACACTCTACTGTGACATTCTGTGTGACATTATGTCACATTTACGTGACATTTCCGTGACAACGCAGGGAACATCGTGGCCGGTACTTTCAACCATGACTAAAAAACGCCGGACTTGCTGTCACATAAAAGTCACATTTCGAGCACTTTTTTGTGACTTTCGGCACTTGCCATTGATGCGAGTCGCATCATCTTCCCCAACCACCCGCATCTCTCAAGCAGCCATGGCGCACACGTTTGCTCATTTTGCGATCGTCCTCGCTGGTGAGTATTTGATACTTTCACTGCTGTTCGTTGAGGAGAGGAGAGCTTTTGAGTCGACTCAAAAGCGATACCCTCCCTTTTTTAACCCAGTGGAGAGTATCTGATCGTCACCGCTGTTCATCGAGCAGGCACTGCCTGGCAACTGTGATTGTGCACTATACTCGTCCGATCCCTGTTATTCCGTCAAAACCGCGAGTTTGCTCGAGAAAATCTGACGGTCTGCCCGTCCGTTCTTATATTCAGACGCCTCACTTTGTTTTCTACACGTGCGTCGTTCTCTGTCTGTAGTGCTGCTCTCGCTCTCCTGCAGCGCCATCGCCGGGCGCCGTGAGCTCATAGCCAGTGGCGCCACTGCCGTCAAACGCTGTAAGTCAACCTGCTCCAACGCACTCGCACCAAGGTGGAAGCACATCCACTCATTCGATAGTCTAATGCTCCCTGCTGCACCGTATCAATGCTCTCTGCACCGTATCAATGCTCTCTGCACCGTATCAATGCTCTCTGCACCGTATCAATGCTCTCTGCACCGTATCAATGCTCTCTGCACCGTATCAATGCTCTCTGCACCGTATCAATGCTCTCTGCACCGTATCCAGCTCTCTGCACGAATCCGTGCTCCCTGTTCCGTGTCTCATGCTGCCGTACACCTCCGCTGGCCTCCTCCTTCCGCCCACCGACCTCAATTTGTGGTTATCCTTCCTATTGTCGCGCAGACGTAGCGTCGGCGTCAACGCTTGCTTCGAGCAATCGTGCATTGACTGGCTCGTGCTCCCTGCGTGCTGACGTGTAAGCGATAACTTTCCCCGTTAAACAGTGTTGATTTATCAATCGCATAATCGCAATGTTCGTGTTGAATAGCCCCTCACAAGAAGCCACGAACGCTGTATCAATACTAGCTGCATGATTTTCCATACAAGGACTGAGCATTTCCCGTAATACTCTCACAATTACTAGCCTGTCTCATTCCTTCAAACCCCCCCTCTCGCCCGCTCCTCGTGCAGCACGTCTTCCTACCAATCGTTTACTTACACCCTCAGCGTTGCGGGCATACCTGTCGGCAAGTCAGCAACTGTTACGGCTGCCGGTTTCTACAGGGTCAGCACGGGAGCCCTCGTGAAGGCCATTCCCTGCACGGCCAAAGCGGACACAGCAACGGGCACTTGGAGCTGCGACGCGGATGGCGGCGCACAGCTCACCTCGGCTTATGTGCCTATCGACCCGATCTCAGTGAGCGCTGGGGTGTACGCGTCTCCCTCGAGCTTTTATTTTTCGGTTAAAGTTGATGGCGTTGAAGTGAAGGGGAAAGTTGTCGCATCGATTGGTCGGTACTACGTACAGTAATGAGGCATTTCTCTTGCAACCGTACAGCTGGCTTTGGGGTTTGACATGATCCAGTGTGTTGCTGGATCAGCTGCTTCTCTCACATATTGCCGCTGGGTTTCTCTACTTTCATTGGACTTGCTGCTTGTACGTTCTTTCAGTTAATGTAGATTGCTGTTTGCATAATGAAAGCTTTCCTGTAGTTACCGTACACCAGTTAACTCAGTACAATTGCCTGAAGCCATTTCCCTAGCCTCAGCATCACCACCACCTGCCTCTCTTCTGAGGCACTCCAACTATAGCAAAACACACTGCATGAGGGAGTGGGGAGTGGGGAGGGAGGCTCAGAAATGAGAGGGCAGAAAAGTCAAGAGATAAAGGAGCCTTGACGTTAATTATTAAAATTATTGCTCAGATTTGTTCACCGTTAGTCAATACTGTAGCGTTGCCTGTTGAACACATCATGTTATTTACAAACACCTACGGTACCGTAATCCCCCGGATATAAAGCCCGCCGATATAAAGCCCCCATGGGTGGTTTATGCGGGGAGGATTTTCTATTTCGGAATCCACAATACAACACCCCCTTTTTTGCCTTACTAACAGAGCACCCCCCCCCCCCTCCTCCCTTGTGACCCTAGTGAGTGTAGCTTAAGACGGGAATGACCCAGACTGGTGACTGGGAGCAGAATAAAGCACCGAGTGGATGTTCGTTGCTATTCCAATAGACGCACATTCGTGTGGCTCTGTACAAAGCGGCTCCCCAATGTGTGACAATTGGGCGCGTTTGACCATACGTGCCTGTATTTGGGTGCACGTTCTCGTCACGTTCTATCTCAGCTCGCCAACGTGCATCTCTTGACGCGCTTGACCTTGCACAATCTGACCAATCACATTTCTTATATTCACCCACGTTCTTGAACCCGGGTCGATCGAGCCAACCCACGTAAACACAACCAATTTAGAACCATTGGATAGCGGAAACAACACTGCATATTGCTACGTTTATAACATCTGATGCAAAATTACAGACCCGGGTGCAATACGCTCATCCCGCAATAGTGCACCCACCCCCTCATTTTCAGGGCGTACTAACACAACACCCGGGGTCGTGTATCCGGGGGATTACGGTATCAGTGACGGGGTAGCACAAACTACTATAGACAGCCTTTAATTCCAGGATCACCTCACCACATGCTATTACAGCTCCGCACCTGTCCCAATCACTGCCTGTGCGCCATCCTTGCGACAACACCCCCTCTCTCGCCCCCACCACCAGCTCCTGCCATGGCCCTCATGTGCTGTGCTTGTCACCCTCCTCTCCGCGCTCCTTATGCTTCTCCCCGTCCCGTCTTTGCTCCTTCTCCCCCCCCTCCTCTCCTTGCTCCTGCACTGTATGCTGCTTGCCCCCACCCTCTACCCCACCACCCTCCTCCCCCTCATCCTCCAACCCCCCAGCCGCCTCTCCTGCACCCACCTCCCTGAGAAGCTGCCTCACTGCAGAGGGGGATGGGGGTACTGTGGGGGCGGCAGATGCGGACAGGGTGGCACCGGTAGGAGGGGGAGCGACTGGAGCTGCAGCAGTGGCGGCCGCAGTGGCGGCAGCAGCACTTGCGGCAGCCGCAGTGGTGGCAGCAGCACTTGCGGCAGCAGCAGTGGTGGCAGCAGCACTTGCGGCAGCAGAAGTGGTGGCAGCAGCACTTGCGGCAGCAGAAGTGGTGGCAGCAGCACTTGCGGCAGCCGCAGTGGTGGCAGCAGCACTTGCGGCAGCCGCAGTGGTGGCAGCAGCACTTGCGGCAGCCGCAGTGGCTGTTGGAGGGGCGGCAGAGTGTGTTCGACTGGCCTGACGCGCCCCCACCTCCTCCAGAAATCGCACCAACGGCAGGCTGCCACATCGGCGAGCCTCGTCCAACGGAGTGCTTCCCCACCTGCCAGGGGGTTGAGTCAGGACACAGGGGAGGCAGCAAGGGGGCAATGGGAATGACTGGCATGAAAGGGATGCTTGGAGAGACAAGGAGAAGAGTGCACAGCATGGCAAGGGATGGGGACGCATGGAGACAGCAGGCTGGCCCGACACCCCGCCTTGCACATGCACCTATAGCACATGGCAACATTCGACCTCACAGAATATGCGGGGCCTTCACGCACCTATCGCGGGCCGCCACATCAGCGTGGTGGTCGACGAGTAGGCGGGCGACGTGCAGGTGGCCCTTGATGGCAGCGATGTGCAGCGGGGAGCGCTGGTCGTAGTCACTCGCGTTGGGATGCACCCCATGGGAGAGGAGTCGCTGAAGCAACTCCGTGTCCGCTGCTGCCACCGCTGCACAGAGCACCGTGCCTGCCTCCTGTGGGTGTGCGGGAGAGAGAGAGCAGAAGAGAGGCTAGAGTAAGAGAGAGCAGAAGAGAGGCTAGAGTAAGAGAGAGCAGAAGAGAGGCTAGAGTAAGAGAGAGCAGAAGAGAGGCTAGAGTAAGAGAGAGCAGAAGAGAGGCTAGAGTAAGAGAGAGCAGAAGAGAGGCTAGAGTAAGAGAGAGCAGAAGAGAGGCTAGAGTAAGAGAGAGCAGAAGAGAGGCTAGAGTAAGAGAGAGCAGAAGAGAGGCTAGAGTAAGAGAGAGCAGAAGAGAGGCTAGAGTAAGAGAGAGCAGAAGAGAGGCTAGAGTAAGAGAGAGCAGAAGAGAGGCTAGAGTAAGAGAGAGCAGAAGAGAGGCTAGAGTAAGAGAGAGCAGAAGAGAGGCTAGAGTAAGAGAGAGCAGAAGAGAGGCTAGAGTAAGAGAGAGCAGAAGAGAGGCTAGAGTAAGAGAGAGCAGAAGAGAGGCTAGAGTAAGAGAGAGCAGAAGAGAGGCTAGAGTAAGAGAGAGCAGAAGAGAGGCTAGAGTAAGAGAGAGCAGAAGAGAGGCTAGAGTAAGAGAGAGCAGAAGAGAGGCTAGAGTAAGAGAGAGCAGAAGAGAGGCTAGAGTAAGAGAGAGCAGAAGAGAGGCTAGAGTAAGAGAGAGCAGAAGAGAGGCTAGAGTAAGAGAGAGCAGAAGAGAGGCTAGAGTAAGAGAGAGCAGAAGAGAGGCTAGAGTAAGAGAGAGCAGAAGAGAGGCTAGAGTAAGAGAGAGCAGAAGAGAGGCTAGAGTAAGAGAGAGCAGAAGAGAGGCTAGAGTAAGAGAGAGCAGAAGAGAGGCTAGAGTAAGAGAGAGCAGAAGAGAGGCTAGAGTAAGAGAGAGCAGAAGAGAGGCTAGAGTAAGAGAGAGCAGAAGAGAGGCTAGAGTAAGAGAGAGCAGAAGAGAGGCTAGAGTAAGAGAGAGCAGAAGAGAGGCTAGAGTAAGAGAGAGCAGAAGAGAGGCTAGAGTAAGAGAGAGCAGAAGAGAGGCTAGAGTAAGAGAGAGCAGAAGAGAGGCTAGAGTAAGAGAGAGCAGAAGAGAGGCTAGAGTAAGAGAGAGCAGAAGAGAGGCTAGAGTAAGAGAGAGCAGAAGAGAGGCTAGAGTAAGAGAGAGCAGAAGAGAGGCTAGAGTAAGAGAGAGCAGAAGAGAGGCTAGAGTAAGAGAGAGCAGAAGAGAGGCTAGAGTAAGAGAGAGCAGAAGAGAGGCTAGAGTAAGAGAGAGCAGAAGAGAGGCTAGAGTAAGAGAGAGCAGAAGAGAGGCTAGAGTAAGAGAGAGCAGAAGAGAGGCTAGAGTAAGAGAGAGCAGAAGAGAGGCTAGAGTAAGAGAGAGCAGAAGAGAGGCTAGAGTAAGAGAGAGCAGAAGAGAGGCTAGAGTAAGAGAGAGCAGAAGAGAGGCTAGAGTAAGAGAGAGCAGAAGAGAGGCTAGAGTAAGAGAGAGCAGAAGAGAGGCTAGAGTAAGAGAGAGCAGAAGAGAGGCTAGAGTAAGAGAGAGCAGAAGAGAGGCTAGAGTAAGAGAGAGCAGAAGAGAGGCTAGAGTAAGAGAGAGCAGAAGAGAGGCTAGAGTAAGAGAGAGCAGAAGAGAGGCTAGAGTAAGAGAGAGCAGAAGAGAGGCTAGAGTAAGAGAGAGCAGAAGAGAGGCTAGAGTAAGAGAGAGCAGAAGAGAGGCTAGAGTAAGAGAGAGCAGAAGAGAGGCTAGAGTAAGAGAGAGCAGAAGAGAGGCTAGAGTAAGAGAGAGCAGAAGAGAGGCTAGAGTAAGAGAGAGCAGAAGAGAGGCTAGAGTAAGAGAGAGCAGAAGAGAGGCTAGAGTAAGAGAGAGCAGAAGAGAGGCTAGAGTAAGAGAGAGCAGAAGAGAGGCTAGAGTAAGAGAGAGCAGAAGAGAGGCTAGAGTAAGAGAGAGCAGAAGAGAGGCTAGAGTAAGAGAGAGCAGAAGAGAGGCTAGAGTAAGAGAGAGCAGAAGAGAGGCTAGAGTAAGAGAGAGCAGAAGAGAGGCTAGAGTAAGAGAGAGCAGAAGAGAGGCTAGAGTAAGAGAGAGCAGAAGAGAGGCTAGAGTAAGAGAGAGCAGAAGAGAGGCTAGAGTAAGAGAGAGCAGAAGAGAGGCTAGAGTAAGAGAGAGCAGAAGAGAGGCTAGAGTAAGAGAGAGCAGAAGAGAGGCTAGAGTAAGAGAGAGCAGAAGAGAGGCTAGAGTAAGAGAGAGCAGAAGAGAGGCTAGAGTAAGAGAGAGCAGAAGAGAGGCTAGAGTAAGAGAGAGCAGAAGAGAGGCTAGAGTAAGAGAGAGCAGAAGAGAGGCTAGAGTAAGAGAGAGCAGAAGAGAGGCTAGAGTAAGAGAGAGCAGAAGAGAGGCTAGAGTAAGAGAGAGCAGAAGAGAGGCTAGAGTAAGAGAGAGCAGAAGAGAGGCTAGAGTAAGAGAGAGCAGAAGAGAGGCTAGAGTAAGAGAGAGCAGAAGAGAGGCTAGAGTAAGAGAGAGCAGAAGAGAGGCTAGAGTAAGAGAGAGCAGAAGAGAGGCTAGAGTAAGAGAGAGCAGAAGAGAGGCTAGAGTAAGAGAGAGCAGAAGAGAGGCTAGAGGAAAGAGAGCAGAAGAGAGGCTAGAGTAAGAGAGAGCAGAAGAGAGGCTAGAGTAAGAGAGAGCAGAAGAGAGGCTAGAGCAAGGAGAGCAGAAGAGAGGCTAGAGTAAGAGAGAGCAGAAGAGAGGCTAGAGTAAGAGAGAGCAGAAGAGAGGCTAGAGTAAGAGAGAGCAGAAGAGAGGCTAGAGTAAGAGAGAGCAGAAGAGAGGCTAGAGTAAGAGAGAGCAGAAGAGAGGCTAGAGTAAGAGAGAGCAGAAGAGAGGCTAGAGTAAGAGAGAGCAGAAGAGAGGCTAGAGTAAGAGAGAGCAGAAGAGAGGCTAGAGTAAGAGAGAGCAGAAGAGAGGCTAGAGTAAGAGAGAGCAGAAGAGAGGCTAGAGTAAGAGAGAGCAGAAGAGAGGCTAGAGTAAGAGAGAGCAGAAAGAGAGGCTAGAGTAAAGAGAGTAGAAGAGAGGCTAGAGTAAGAGAGAGCAGAAGAGAGGCTAGAGTAAGAGAGAGCAGAAGAGAGGCTAGAGTAAGAGAGAGCAGAAGAGAGGCTAGAGTAAGAGAGAGCAGAAGAGAGGCTAGAGCAAGAAGAGCAGAAGAGAGGCTAGAGTAAGAGAGAGCAGAAGAGAGGCTAGAGTAAGAGAGAGCAGAAGAGAGGCTAGAGTAAGAGAGAGCAGAAGAGAGGCTAGAGTAAGAGAGAGCAGAAGAGAGGCTAGAGTAAGAGAGAGCAGAAGAGAGGCTAGAGTAAGAGAGAGCAGAAGAGAGGCTAGAGTAAGAGAGAGCAGAAGAGAGGCTAGAGTAAGAGAGAGCAGAAGAGAGGCTAGAGTAAGAGAGAGCAGAAGAGAGGCTAGAGTAAGAGAGAGCAGAAGAGAGGCTAGAGTAAGAGAGAGCAGAAGAGAGGCTAGAGTAAGAGAGAGCAGAAGAGAGGCTAGAGTAAGAGAGAGCAGAAGAGAGGCTAGAGTAAGAGAGAGCAGAAGAGAGGCTAGAGTAAGAGAGAGCAGAAGAGAGGCTAGAGTAAGAGAGAGCAGAAGAGAGGCTAGAGTAAGAGAGAGCAGAAGAGAGGCTAGAGTAAGAGAGAGCAGAAGAGAGGCTAGAGTAAGAGAGAGCAGAAGAGAGGCTAGAGTAAGAGAGAGCAGAAGAGAGGCTAGAGTAAGAGAGAGCAGAAGAGAGGCTAGAGTAAGAGAGAGCAGAAGAGAGGCTAGAGTAAGAGAGAGCAGAAGAGAGGCTAGAGTAAGAGAGAGCAGAAGAGAGGCTAGAGTAAGAGAGAGCAGAAGAGAGGCTAGAGTAAGAGAGAGCAGAAGAGAGGCTAGAGTAAGAGAGAGCAGAAGAGAGGCTAGAGTAAGAGAGAGCAGAAGAGAGGCTAGAGTAAGAGAGAGCAGAAGAGAGGCTAGAGTAAGAGAGAGCAGAAGAGAGGCTAGAGTAAGAGAGAGCAGAAGAGAGGCTAGAGTAAGAGAGAGCAGAAGAGAGGCTAGAGTAAGAGAGAGCAGAAGAGAGGCTAGAGTAAGAGAGAGCAGAAGAGAGGCTAGAGTAAGAGAGAGCAGAAGAGAGGCTAGAGTAAGAGAGAGCAGAAGAGAGGCTAGAGTAAGAGAGAGCAGAAGAGAGGCTAGAGTAAGAGAGAGCAGAAGAGAGGCTAGAGTAAGAGAGAGCAGAAGAGAGGCTAGAGTAAGAGAGAGCAGAAGAGAGGCTAGAGTAAGAGAGAGCAGAAGAGAGGCTAGAGTAAGAGAGAGCAGAAGAGAGGCTAGAGTAAGAGAGAGCAGAAGAGAGGCTAGAGTAAGAGAGAGCAGAAGAGAGGCTAGAGTAAGAGAGAGCAGAAGAGAGGCTAGAGTAAGAGAGAGCAGAAGAGAGGCTAGAGTAAGAGAGAGCAGAAGAGAGGCTAGAGTAAGAGAGAGCAGAAGAGAGGCTAGAGTAAGAGAGAGCAGAAGAGAGGCTAGAGTAAGAGAGAGCAGAAGAGAGGCTAGAGTAAGAGAGAGCAGAAGAGAGGCTAGAGTAAGAGAGAGCAGAAGAGAGGCTAGAGTAAGAGAGAGCAGAAGAGAGGCTAGAGTAAGAGAGAGCAGAAGATAGGCTAGAGAAAGAGAGAGCAGAAAGAGAGGCTAGTGTAAAGAGAGCAGAAGAGAGGCTAGAGTAAGAGAGAGCAGAAGAGAGGCTAGAGTAAGAGAGAGCAGAAGAGAGGCTAGAGTAAGAGAGAGCAGAAGAGAGGCTAGAGTAAGGAGAGGAGAAGAGAGGCTAGAGTAAGAGAGAGCAGAAGAGAGGCTAGAGTAAGAGAGAGCAGAAGAGAGGCTAGAGTAAGAGAGAGCAGAAGAGAGGCTAGAGTAAGAGAGAGCAGAAGAGAGGCTAGAGTAAGAGAGAGCAGAAGAGAGGCTAGAGTAAGAGAGAGCAGAAGAGAGGCTAGAGTAAGAGAGAGCAGAAGAGAGGCTAGAGTAAGAGAGAGCAGAAGAGAGG